AATAATTTATCCCAAGTTGCCCATCCAGTGTACAGGAATTCCGCAGTGGTTCTTCCTATTAACACCATGTTTAGTATATTCAATGTGAAATAATCTGAAGCACAGTGATGTTAGTTTAGAGGAGTTGAAGCAGCTTAACATGCAGAAAATTATACATGAAAATTATAGCTCAGAGGGATCCCAACTAGATGAAAGGTCTCTAACCTACCTGTATCCTGATGACCATAATGCCCAGAGAGAGGAAAGCTCTTTCAATCACCAATAACACCCAAAATTAGGATGAAATGGGAAATGCATCCTATCAGCTCTAGTTACTTGTCCAGAAGGGAAGTTCAATCTCTATTCATATCTGTAATGTATGGAATTATATTTGTCCTATTATATAATCTTGACATGTGCTATAAGGAACCAGCTAATTTCTCTTTCTCTACAGGCAGATCCTTCTCTTTAGCAGCTGGAATAATTTGAAGCTACAGTGTGAAGCACACAGAACAAGGTTCCTCAGTAAATGGGGACTAAACAACAACCCAAAAATACACTATTGTAAGAAAAGGCTTAACTCTACAAGTGCCTGACTGGTTTGTCACTTGAAGTAGAATTACAGGCTATCCATCCACTGCTAAAAGCATTTGAATGAAGCATTTAAATGAAATTTCAAAATTGCTCTGAATTTCACCTTCTTGATGTTGGAGTCTGAAACAGAGGCCTCTCTGAGTTCCTCAGAGAGGGATCAACAAGTTTCAGTGAGAGCTTAAAAACATACTCCTAGATACCAGTGTAGAGAACAAGTCTTGAAAACAAGTCTCCATGAAGGCTCTAAGAACATAGTTTTAGACATAATTAAAATATTGTAAGAATATTGCTTACATTTTTTAGATAAAACAGATACATGCATAGTTTATACATAAACTGGCGTGCTAAGAAACCAGAATTCTAATAGGTTAAGAAGAAATGGTTCGTATTCGTGTTTTTAATTTATTGGGTAATTTGTGTATAAGAATCTATGCACTGGGGAGAGATGCTCTTTCTTTCTTCTCTCCCCTCACCACTATCATCCTGACTCTAAAGAAGATAAGAGCTGTGGCTGCAACTTCAGCCCTCCCAGAGCCCTGCACCAAAAGCTACTTCCACTTCTAATTAAAACTTTATTTCTATTTAAAACTCTATACCAAAAACTTTTAGCATGAACTTTAACACTTAAAACGCTTTGCACTTTAAGACTGATGTGCCTTTAAAATAAACAACTTTATAGCAGCTAATAACTACTTGGTTCTTGTAAAGAAAACCACCCCAACCCAATACTCTAATTTTGATTTTTACCAAGTATTTTAAGCAATTTAGAATGATTAAAAATTTACTTTGGAATAATACAGAGTTCAAAGGAACAAGTCTTCTAACTCCCATCAAACTCGGATACATAATTCCCACAGGTGCCTTAGAAAATCCCTGTTTTCAATGTTGTTGTCCACTGGATAAACAGCTCAAATATCACTGGCTTTCTGCACAAAGTTCATATACCTGAAATAATTTATGAAAATCATAAAATTGATTTAAGCTCTTCTCAGTGCTCCATAAATTTTATGTAGCCCTTAAATTATAAAGCTGCTGCTGCTGCTGCAGCACACATCAGAACAATGTTTAATCTCTCAAGATAGTTGGCATGTCAGAGGAGAAAAGAAGGGACTCGGGCAGCTGAATTGTTTGTTTCAATTTGACAGGGCAGAATAAAGCAGCCTAGATGCCAGGGCTCTAGTTCCAGTGAGACTGTGTGCATCGAGGTTTTATTGCAAATGTAAGTTGTTCTAACCTTCCTCTGGCTTTCCTTGGTTTTAAACCAGAAAACAGCTTTCACTGATTTCACAGGGACTCTTTTTGCATACATCATCAGGTTTGTGATACTTAAGATGTTCCCTGTCTAATTTATAATCAGTGTGTTCTTCTTCTGATATATGACAATAAAATTCCACATCTGTCCAATCATACATCGGTGTAAAAATGCTGTTGCAAACCTCACTTCATCCTTATCAGATAGTCTCTCTCTCAGCCCAAAGCCGTGTCAGAACAGGTAGGGTTTTTTCTTTTACTAGGGTTTTATGTAGGGTTTTTTCTTCTACTAAAATCAGAGCTTTTAGGACTGTTCAATTTCTTTTTTTTTTATATCTCTTAACTTCTTCAGCAAAGATTGAAAGCATTTTTGGAACTGCATAAAACACAAGGTCAAAATAAAGTCCTAGCATAGAGTAACTATGATTGAATCGACTCCTTTACTCTTAAATTTAGCCTGGTAACATATTAAAAATGCAGACTGCTTTATTAAGGTTTTGGCTTGTGCTAGCTGACTCAGATTAACAGTATGCTGCCTTTTCTGGTTAAGTCTCATCTGGAGTAGCCCAGTCTTCAGAGGCAGAGTGGTCTGGACTTTATTAAACTCTTTTCGGTGTTTTATCTGGGGACCCAGAGTCAGCAGCTGCTATAGTCTTCTCCTTAGCACTGACTTTCCAGCTCTCCCCACTCTCCCTTGTCTGTCATTCAGACAGTCATCATCTTTAAAGGATGCATTTCAACCTTTCTAGACTCACGCTTTTCTCCCATGTAACCCTGTGAGTTTCATCCTTCCTCATAGGCTGTTTTTTGCTCAGAGGTATACAAACCATCTGTGCCTCTAATACAATGTTCTTAAATAGCCTCCAGGCAGATCTCTATGGTTTTTAAGTACTTCTCTTTGCCCTTCAGCCTGCTGTTAACCATTTTCCTCATAGTTTTATAATCTGCCCTTTTAAAGTTCGTTGTTACTGTGCTGTCCCTAAGGGAACAACTCTTTCATGATATCAAAACTAAAAGTGTGCAGTGATCACCGTTATCCTACAGAGGCTTGACAACACTTCCTCTAATAACTTCTGCCTCTTACAAGGTAGCTCCCTCTTGCCCACGGCTTTAACTAATCAGGCATGGCACTGAGGACTGACACCAGAGTCAAGGAAAACAAATCGTTTGCCATATGGATTGGAATGGCACCAAAGCCACTTCTGATTAGAGGGAAAGAACTGCTTTACCAGCTGTTGCTTTATCTTCAACAAAAAATATGTTAACAGTAAGGTAAATAACAGTAAAATTCAATATTGTGTAATCTTCCTGGCTGGTCCCATTCATTTTCCCCAGGAGGAAGTTACTTCCCAGAGGCTGGCTCTGAGATTTTATACGTTCTCAATATCTTGAGGAAGCCTACAGGAGGTTGCAGTCACATAAAACCCTATGGTGTGTCTCCCCTGGTTTTAATGGCTATCTTTGTGACTGCTGCCTGTGAAATGCTCTCAAGGAAGTGGGGTACAAAGGAAGGTCTACAACATTAAAAATGTCTTTGCAGATTAGTACCTTGCTCTAGGAATGGGAATAAAGGGATGATACAGCTGGTACACCAGCCTTTCCGTTTGCTGAATGCACAAAGGATTGATTTATGGCAATTTGCCACAGGAGAGGCCTGTAGGTTATTAACCAACTTCAATGGACAAACACTTGCTGAGGCTGCACATCATACCTCAAAATTACCACAAAAGGTAATGACTCATCTGCTGGCAAGCCTGATGTCCTCGAGAACGTGGTTGGCTCTGCACAGCCAAGTGAAGCATTACTTAGTTAATACACTACAGCATAAGGGAAATAATCAGCTGAAACGATGGCATTACTGCTTCCTGCTTCATTTTAAATCTGCAGCTTCCTAACAGGAATATATTGAAGCACTGTAAAAAAAGGACATTAAGTCCTGTGATGAAACTTAAAAAACTTGTAATTAAAACTGCTAAATAAAGGCTTCTTGTGCTCAGTGCCTGCAAAACACAGCCTTTGATCCTCCAAATGATATTTCTAGGAAAACTGCTGGACAAAAAACCTATCAGAATAGAATTCTGACTCATCCCTTCCTCTTTAGGCCAATGAAATGAACTTTTGCAGTACAACAAACTTGCTTTCATTTCAGAAATACGACCAAAGGTAAGAAATCCTGGCCACCTGCCCACATGTGCATTTTCTTGCTCATTCTATCAAGAATGCAGCATTCTTGATGATTCACCTTGATTCCTATAATTTAGAGAAAGATCCTGGTTCTTCAAAAGAAATTAAGATGACAGAGCATCTCACCTCTCCTATTGATGTCCAAGCACCTTTACAGAGTAAAAAGCCTCCATTATAAGCATCTGTTGCTGTAATGCTACTACAGTTTCCCAGATTTGTTGCACCTCACTGCTCAGCTAACATCATCAATGAATGTTTTGGTCTTAATGAACTGGGAAAATTCAAGTATTTTATTAATAGAAACTGTACAAGATTCCCATATGAAGCAACAGGCCACATCTGACCAAGATTCCTGTATTGGGTAACAAGCCTCAGCTACTCTCACCTTGCTCCTCCAGCACTGCTCTCACATTTAACTGGGCAAACTCCATGAGAAAATAAATGCATGTACATTCTCTACTACAGGAGGGGAAAAGGACTGGGAATGGGGGCAAACAAGAGCAAAAGAGAAGGAAAACCCAGGAAAATTGTCGTTTCCTGTTCTAGCCTCATGTTCCATGTACTGAACTTTGGCTTCCCCTTTACAAGAAAGTTGCAATTATTATTTTCCCATGGCCCACTAGGACAGGTGATTGCTTAAGAGTTTCACATTTCTCCCCTAAATGAACAAGTAATTGTTCTCTTTAATCACAGGTTTCATGAGGAGTTGATAGTGTGTGTGATTTTCCTGGTGTGTCATGGTAAAAACACTGATTTTTCACATGACTACCTGATTAAAATGCTTTTGTGCATCACTCACATCTCTTAATAAATCTATTCAATTAGTTATTGTTAGGTGAACTGGGAGTGAAATACAATGAATACAAAGGTCTCCTCATGGTCAGAGCACTACAAATCAGTCCGAAAAAAGGAAAGAAACCAAGTTTCCGTATCCACCTTTCTTTCCCCTGCTGTGTTGCCTAAATAAAAATTAAATGCCTTTTAATTCATTATTTCCAAGTAAATGCAATTTATTTGCATTCCAGACATCTGTCATGAGGTTCTAGAGCAAGAAACATGATTAAGCAAAAGTACCACACTCAATTAGCAGACGTACTGTACTCCGTACTTTAAGGTAACCCTCCTTTTACTGGCAGTCTCCCGCTTCTTTCACAAAATATGGTAATTTTTGTTTAAATGCAATTACTGTCCAGAATCAAACAAGATCTCAATCTTATTTTGAACAGGCCAGATCAACTGCTCTAATTTTAAGGTAAAACCAAATGCCCTCTGGGCCTTGGCAAGCATTTATCTCAATAGCCATGTCTCCTAAACTGTCTCACAGCTCAAGTCATGAGCTTCCAGGTTATGGAAGAAAAATGTAAGCAAATACATTTCTATGCTGATGAACAGAACCAGAAAAGTTGAAGTAAGTAGCCAATGGTTAATTCATTCTTTCAGACGAGTCTCATCAAATCAGAGTATTTACTCCATTGTTGACATATGCCCAAATATTCCTTTTGTTTGCTGGAAGGCTACAAGATTACTCATGGGTATGTACATATATATTTGTATATATTCTTAATGGATTCAAACAAGTTTAAAGTATATAAAATAAATGGAAATACTAATCCCTGTAAACGTTTGGTTCTGCACTTCTTTAAATTTTTTTCTTCTTTTATATAGAGAATACAGATAAATTATGTATTTACCAATGTAGCATGTCCTCATGGGAATAATCAGGTTGTCACATAGCACCTCTCTCATGACCAGTGCAACAAGACTTTAATATCCATTTCTAGATCTGGTTTCAGTTTTCTGAAAGGACAACAGATCCATTCATTTTCAAGATCAGGGTAACATGTACTCACACAAACAGTGTGAAACAGCTTGCAGACTTGCATTTGATGTAATGCTGCAGGAAGCTGGTGTGTGGGGAGACAGGCAGCAGGTACAAGAGGCTCCAATACCAGGAGACAAAAAAAAATAATTTCATGTACTGAAATTTTTATTAAAGTATATTTGGACCACTTAAAAGAAAGCATAATTTATCATTTACTCCCAGATGACCTAACTAAAACCAGCTGTTTCACACAGCAAGTTGAAATTTGCTCCTCAATGAAGCTTTACAGGCCAAATAATTTCAAATGTTCTGTCATGCAGCAGAACTGGTTTCCTATGGTTACAGAACATACCATACATCCAAATAAATTCAAAGTCACAAATCACATTTCCACACCTTGTTCTCCCAAATCCCATCAGCTCTCAGTGTCGTTTCTGTCCTATTACAGAAAAGATGCTGAAATTATCATGTTCTTTCTACGGCCATCTGCCTGAGATTGTTACTCTCCCTTTAAGACATAGGGAGTCAGAAGCAGATCTGGAGGATCTTGCCTCAGGTTCATGGAGGCAGGAGATGCCAGGATCCCTTTAAAATTAGGACAACATTCACACAGGCCTCTCTTTCATTCCCGCTAGCTACTGAGAAGCTGAGGCAGCACAAGGCAGAAACTCCCCTTTGTTTTGGTCTCTGGGCCAGGGAGGATTTTCTTTTCAGACCTTTTTTCCTTCCTTTTTCATTGCTGTCACCTGGGACAGCCAGCCACGGCACCACAATGGGCAAAACAGAACAGCACCTGCTCCATACAGTCACTCCAGCCCCCCAGCAGTGCTCAGCTGCAGCGAGAGGGCATGGGGCTCAGGCTGCCCCAGGCATCTGCCTCTCATCTTCTGCTGAGGAGGAGGTCAAGTCCCTCCATGAGTTCCATCCACTGACCAGTTCCAGCTGCCACCATTGGTGGAGCTGCTGCCAGGTGATGTGGAGCAAATGGATTAGCAGCATTTGACTGGGTCTGGAGTCCAGGTTTCTTTTTGTTTTGTCCTTGTTCCTCGTTGGTTGCTGTCTGGGGAAGAGGGACTTTTATAATTACAGTTTCAAATGCTGTGGTGGTTTTTTTCCCTTTGTTCTCTCTCCTCTACATGGTCAGGTGAAGGGTTTTCTTCACCAGCTTGTCTTTGTTCCCTGAACCACGTGGTCTTCTATGGAGGCCAATATTTTCAGCAGGAGTTTCTCTGCCATCTTGTTTTCTTTCCTCCCGAGCAGTCCGTGGGATTCAGCACCTTTTACCTAGTGATGACTGTTATCCTGCCTGTTGCTGTTTAATTTCTTTAGTAAACTGTTATTTTCTCACTTATATGTTCCTGTTTTCATCTCTGCTTACTGGTAAAAGGGGAGCAGTTAAAACTAAAAGGGTCAGTAACTCATTTTGGAGTGTCTGCCCCAGAAACTATCAAACCAACACACACACACAGCTATGGTGTTTCTTCATTTAAATTCCCTATTTACAACTTCCTCCCTACTTGAAGAAAGCTAAATTAATGCTTTTCCACAGCTTAAAGATGAAATATATTTTTTTAAACAAGCTGCCTGAGATCTCAAATAATTATGAACACATAAGTAGCTAACTGAACAAATGTACTTTAAAAAAAACCCCAAAACACCACAAATCCACTGAGCTCATCGGTATCAAAACCAAAGTGCACAATCTCCAACAGTTTGGGCTTATTTTGCATTAGTTGATACCATCAACTAGAAACAAAGTCTTTATACCTTGCTATCACAACCAATTCAAATTGAATTTGATGTTTCTTAGACTGCATTCACCAAAGACAGGATCAAGACTACATGACTTTAGCAACTGCAGCCTCATTTACTGCAAGGCTCTGCAAAGAGCTAATCTTGCAAATCACAAATGCAAAGGTTGTGCAAACTTTTGTTAAGCTATAAGACAGAAAACTCCAGTCTCTGTTTCACAGCAATGAAGTGTCTCTCTTGAATGTCAATAATAACAGATAAAAATCACATAACTGTCAACTAAGACTATTCAATATAGAGGAAATACATTTTAGTCATGGAGGGCATTTTAAGATGGATTGATTGAAAATTTTTAAGTTGAATATATACAGGTATATTTTGCTACTCATTTGTGACCTCAAATAGCTTTTACATACATGGTTAAATTCTCTTTTAAAATAAAGCCATGACATACAGTTCCAACTGCAAAGACTTAGCTCTTGCTAATTTTATACTATTCTTCTCTAGCTGGATTATAACAAAGTAAGAGAAGACTTAGATACCATGCTTCAATTTCTATGAACGCCCTCAGTGTTATTCAGGTCTTTAGGAGGTCAAGTAAAATACAAAAAAATACAACCCCTAATCATCATTTTCCTCATCATCAAATGAGAGAAGGCTGCTGTTTTTTACTTGCTTAGATGTACTCTGAGAAGTAGTTGCTTCTGTCTTCGTTTTCTTTGCTTCTTTCATCTTCTTACTTGAGCTTACATTGAAGTCCAAACACTTCTCTGATGAACGTTTGGCTGGTTTCCTGAACAAAATTTTTCCATCCGCAGGTTCTGGTTCATCATCTGTAATAAAGAGAATAAAGTCAGAAATCATGTGCACGTGTTCACAAACACATACAGACCTTCACCATTATCCTGAATACCATGACCTTGAACCAAGTTCAGTGAGACCTCTGAGAGAATACAACGATCATGGAAATGTACTTTTTTGTGATAAACTCTGTATCAATGAATGTCCTTCATGTAAACACACCTGCTCCAAGGGCAGCCAGCCCTTCAAGACAATCCTCCCGCAGTTCCCATTAGAAACAGAGTTTCACTAACCGGAGCTCTAACTTAGAAGAGCCTGTGAACAGTAGAGCTTTTCCCACACATTCCATTCGCATCCACTTATCAAAATGGAGTTGACAATTTCATAGGATGCTCTCACTCTGCTTCAGTATTTGTAAAATTCATGACAATAAATGCACTTATTTCAGAATTATGCCATCTCTTTAAGTAACAAAATGGCACATATACTAGAAAAACTTTTTTCCCGAATATATTCTGTCTTGCTGAGACACCTGAAAAGATCATGTGGTAATAAACCTCCTGTTTATTATCATAATAGATGAGAGTTTCAGAGTTTCTTTGTATCTGCAAAATCACCCAACTATTCCAACTGACTAATTTTGCTCTAGTACACGTAGAGGAGCAGACAATAGGAGAAGTCCCTTCCCTGATTATCAGGTGGAGCTACTGCATAAGTAACAGCATCAGGGCAGTATTTCTGGAAGATAAAGTACAATTGTAAAGTCATGAATCAGACACAAAGGTTCATGCTGCAGTAGTTTGCAATTTCTATAATGTATATGTGACAAAATGTTAAGGAGCCATAGGTTCTGTGCAAGGTATTTTTCCTAAATTACTTTTGTGAAATTCATTGCTCAACAGAAATGTGTTTGACAAGATTATGTTCTATTTAATTATAACCAATAATAACTATAACAACTGCTCCCTTTAGCACAAGTTCTTTCCTCAGTATATCAGCACTACAGCAGAAGATTTAACATTTCAGTGTTATCTACACAGCACTAGCTAAAACTCTCTTCAGTGCATTCTCAAAACAATACAACTAATAAATCTGGTCTCTTAATGGTTGTGTGGTAGTACAAATGAAGATATCCATTTCAGTGGGAAATTTCACTTAGAATGCCTTAAGTTTCAGAGACCCTCTTAAATAAGAAACCTAGCTTGAAAAACTAGGCACCAATTCTTTCAATGGCTTCTATGGAATGCATACTTCCAAAAGGTGCACATGTTGATAGCTGGAGCACAGGTCTTATTGAGAAGCAGCTGAGGGACCCGGGGTTGTTCAGTCCAGAGAAAAGGAGCTCAGAGGAGACCTCATCTCTCTCTGCAACTGCCTGAAAGGAGGTTGTAATGAGATAGGCATCAGTCTCTTCTCCCAAGTAACAAGCATTAGGGCAAAAAATGGCCATGTGGGAAAATTTAGATTGGATACCAGGAAAAATGTCTTCACTGTGAGAGTGATCAGGCATTGGAACAAGTTGGCCAGAGAAGTAGTGGAAACACCATCCCTTGCAGTGTTCAAAGAACACATGGCACTTGAGGACATGGTTTAGTGGCAGCAAAGCTAAACAAGGTTAGTAAGTTGGGCTCCATGGATCTTAGAGGTCTTTTCCAAACCAAACAATTCCTTAATTCTATGATTCTACACTAGTTTATGAGAAAATACTACTATCAGAAAATAACTAACCGGGTTTGGGGAAAAATATTTCAGTCTTGGCACATTAGAAGAGCATTACAGTTACAAGGAATTAGCAGCAATAATAAACTGTAGATATGAAAAGCACAGTTCTCAATGGATCCATTGTGAACTCTGCACAGACAGCTTAGGTGTTTAGATGCTGTACATATGATACAGAAGTTTAGGAAGTGCCTACAGTAAACTTTGGGAGGGAAATAGAACTCCTGAAAGCATATCACACCTAATGAATCAGAATCACTGCACATCCTTTTTCTCAGAAGCTGGCCTCCATTTTTGGGCTAAGAAGTTTAGTAGCAAATGATTCCCCTTATTAATTGTCGCATAACTACAGTGTTTATTTGGAAACACCCATCTTCTAATTTAAACAAAATCTGAGGCACAATCTAAGCCAAATTATGAAAAAAATCTATATATAAGGAAACCCTCCCTTATGTGTGGGCACAACTGTCTACATACTGTATACAGTACCCATACTGCTGTGGAAATAACACAACGAGCTACTGGGTAAGCATGAGGAAAAAAAAAAATCAAACCCCCATTGGACATTCTTAAACAAACACATTACTGCATTTGCTTAGAGTGGTAAATTTCAAAACCTAATTCCTTAAAAGTGTAGTTCAAAGCATACCCATAAAAGAAAACAGATAAACAGTGATGTATTTGTAACCTATGGAAAAACAGAGAACAAAAATTTTAATTTTACTCGCAACTGTCCTGCTACTCCCATTGGGAACTGCACAGAATAATTTTGTTTGGCCAACCAGATGGAAAAATTGATAAGTATCATTGCAATATGAATTGAAACATGCAGTAAACTAAGGGCAAAGCTCAGAAACTCCACCAAAATGGCAACTAGCTCAGCTCTGACCTCTAGGGCTACAATACTATTTGCAGGTCATTCTGCATCAAAGGAAATTATTTGAGCTCTTGGCCTGGTTAAACACTGTCAAAATTTCATTATATGCTCAAGGGCATTCCTTTCAGCAGGAAGCCCGGGCCAGCTTCAGAGAGCAGTGTGTGTTGGCAGTTCTTGACAAAGAATGAAGCAAATGAGGAAACACAGTAGGTCTAGCCTTACCTTACCCACATGTGGAGAGAGTGAGGACAGACTATGTTTTTTGAAAGAATTTGATGTAGCAGTTCACGAATTTTGTGTTGATTTGTTAAGATTGTCTTTTCCAGCTGGTAAAAAGAATTCTATTTTTTCCTTTGCAATTTTATCAGGTTCTTATGTGTTATGTCAGCTCTCTTTTTTGTTTGCATCAAAGACCCACAAAAAACTGACTTGTATTAAACAATGCAAAAAAACCCCAAAAACTAAAGAAACAATCTCAGTGTTGGTGATTTTTAAAGCAGAGTCCTAATAAAAGACTCTGTCAGTATTACACATTATGGAAAGTGGGATTTCTGGTAAGCACACTGAAAATCACCAAGTAAAATACATAAAAAGCAGAACAGGAGAAATAATTAAAATTCACTTCTAACACATTAGTCAAAAACTACACTAGCAATTCAAATTCCCATGTTCTTAGTCATTGCTGCTGTTTACCTAGCTAACAAACTTTTACACTGGTTGACCAACACGAGCACAGTCAGATGTTGAGCTGAAAACTCCACTTCACAAGTGACATCAATTTAAGAAACCACAAAGTCAGAAATGTCTTTTAATTTCAAGTTATATATTACAATAAAAGAAAAAATGAGGGTCTGAAAAAGAAATACTTCTCTTCAGTTTAGAGGGGTTTTTTTTAGCAGTCATTTGTGTAGTTAGCAGCACCACTTTTCAGCAGTTTCTGTCCAGATGGGTCAATGAGGCAACAATAGGAAACACAAATTCCACTAAACTGTCAGGAACAACAGGAAAAGTGAAGCCTATATACATCTATTCAAATATAGAAGGTTAGGGAAAAAATTACAACAACTGGAAATTTTTCTTAATGGTTTCTAAGGTTAGAAGTTCAGGTCAGCCATTTCAGATGCTCCCTCCAGTGCCTTCTGGCCATCTATTCTCTATGCATGCCTTTGGAAGCATTTACTCCAGGAATTCAGCACACTGGTGGTTTGAAGATAAGAAGGCCACTCTTGCTCCATAGTCAGTCTCAACTATTTATGAGAACACTTGGGAAAGTTTTCATTACTTAAATACTGCAAAGTTAGCTTTGATTTAGGTTCCTGCCATTTCACATATGATGAAGAGCAGCATTATCTCTGTGAGATGTATCTGATATAACATCATCTTAAATCAGAACAGTCTGTGCTTATTCAGAAAAGGCTCCAATAGCCAAGACAGGAAGGACTGTATTCTCCTTGTCTCTTCCCTCTCCTGTCCTTCCCCAGAACTCAGCACATAGAATGAAATAAGAAAAATATTATAAGGTTTTGAACAAGAAAGGACACCTTCTGCCAAATTTGATCATATGCATATCTCAGAATGTCCCAGAGGCCACATAAGTAGAAAAGCAGTAGGGAAAAAAAAAATCGATTTCATAGACTGTAATGAATGCTGGGATAAATTATCTTGCAGTAATTCACATATTTTCTTTTGTGCAAATTTAATTTTTCATAAGACCATTTTTGTGTCTGAACCAACAGTGACAATTTCTAAAATGATGCACAAAACATTAAGCAAAATCACTGCTGATAAACAAACTACTTATTTTTAAAAAGCCTGAGTCTCTGCTACATGGACAAAAAGATTTCAATATAGAAGGGCATGTCCTCATATAAGAAAGGTTTGGTCTTAAATAAAAAAGGATCCCTGGGACTCTGCTTGCAAAAGCCAACAGGAAAGCTAAGATTTGTTCTGCCTTAGGAGGCAACTAAGTGCAGCTAGGACATGAATCAGCTGGTTTTACCAAATTAATGCAAAAGTCTTACTCATGTATAAAAGAAAATGCAACTCATGGGAACATCTGGTATCTAAAACTAAAAATAAATAAAACAAAAACTGTAGCCATGTCAAAATAGTTATAGAAGAAAACAAAGGAGCAAGTATGTAAATGAGATACAGAAAATTCTAGAGCAATAAAAATCACAATCCTAAACCTGAAGACAAGGTCCTTCAAATGAAGACAATCATCACAAGCACAAAAAAGGAGTGGGGAGAACCTCAAAACTGAGTACTTTCCATGTTTTGAAAACTCACAACAGATAGTAGCACGTTTCTTAGGCTCTATCAAAGTACCTCACCATTGATGCATGCTGGAAAGGAAGATTATCAGTTGGGAAATTTACTTTCCTATTACCTTTTTAGCTTCATGTAATTTCACTAATGATCTGATTTGGGAGTGTAGAGTAAGGTCTAGTAGCCAATAAGTTAATTTGACTTTCAATCTGGGATTAAAGCAACATGAAAACCAACCAAGTCATGCTTTCACCAAACTTTCTTTATACTTCCCATTTTCTGAATTGACAGCAAAAAAAAACAAAATAAATTCACATGTTCCTCAAAACTCTCTTTATTAAACTGGAAGTAAACAGCTGTCTAAAGTAAACAGCTGCCTCAGACTTGAAATCAACATTTAAATCCAGAGGTCAGACTGGAAGTGCAAAAATTGCCCAAAATGCAAAAAAGCCTTCAGCAAGTTGTAGCACAGTCAAACACTCCTCCCTTCATTGAACATTTCACACTGGGTTCTCTCCATAGCAGAGGAACAGCAGCACTTACCCTGTTTATTCCCATAAGCCATAAAAAGGAAAAGGACACGAAGACCTCATTAACTGCAAAGGCAGATGAATGAACAGTAACACAATAATGCAGAACAGAGGGCGGCAGCCCCCAACATTCCTGCTACCTACTTCTGTTGATTTTTTTCCTCCAAATGCAAGTTATTACTGAAGGGATAAGCAAAGGTGACAAAGTCCTACAGGGACTCAGCACTGCCATCCTTACTACTTACAATTATGTCTTAGGAATGTCTTTTTCCACCAAATAAGTTCAGTCGCTCTATTCAAATACACTTCCATTTCACACTGTGTATTCAGCTTGGTAGCTCTTTTGGACTTTTTTCACAGCATGGACTCTACCTCAATAGATTCTCATGGACAACTTCTTCTTTTTGCCTAGCCTTACAAAATCATTTTTCCTCCTACTGTGATCACTCAAAGTTCAAGCTGCTTATATGAAAAGGAAGCCAATACTCGGAATCTACCATGACATTTCTTTCCAATAAGTTGAAACTTCTCCCAATACTAGGAGGGTGAAAAGAAATTTTGTGATGGCTTTAGAAACTGAGACACCAAGCATCTATATGCATTAATCTTCAATAACAAGACACCAGGAAGTAAGCCCAAAGCTGAGCATATATTCTCAGAGGAGTTTAAGTCATATACCTGCTTAGACCTAACAAATACATATCTACCTACAGAAAACAGGATGTAGTTTATTTAGTTTCAAGCTAACCTATGCTACCAAAAATTAAGATTTCTCATCAATCTGCTTTTCAAAAAATATAGGAGTCTCAGCATATTTTCCCCCACTTCTGTTACTGACTTCTCCATTTATACCATTTGAATTTTAACACATGTCTACACAGAGACAGCATGAACTTGAATTTTCAAATCCAAATGGCAGACAAAGAGAGAAGATAAGGATGTCATATCGACAGCCACATGTTAGGCCTCACAGTGTGCTCTGAATTCAGTTGGCAGCTTTTGTAAATAGCCATAATGGCTAGCCACAGAAGATGACCAGTTTCTATGATTCACCTTTCTATTTTATACTTGTGAGATTCCACTTCCTATATTCTTGTCAAGACATTTCCACTAGAGACAACAGTTGCCTCATTCATATCCGTCAAGTCTTCTGTCAGCAAAAGATAAAGCTACATTTCATCACACCCTGTGTGATGACTGAAGTTTCTGGATGCTCAAAGCACTTATGTCAATCATAACTGAATTATGAATAGTGAGAGAAATTCTTAACATAACTGTATCCATCAGCTGTAGTTTCTCATCATTATTGTCAAACTGCAGCAGCCCCTCCCACACTGCTTCCATCTTTCCATTCTCTGCAATTCTTTGTGGCAGAGAAACATTTTCTTTATGGACCTTGCTGGCTTTTGGCACTACTATCTTACTTAATATATTTGCAAGTCACAACACATACTGGGGTTGATTTTAAGCAAGTAATCAAATGGACCAGTCAGCTAAGTGAACATGTTCCCAAGCCTCACATCTGCAATTCTTTCCACCAAAGCACAGATGCGAATCCCTCTGCCCTGACACTCTTTTTAATGAACTCATACAATTACCTTTTAAATATCCACTCCACAGTCAAATTTGGCTGAATTAGTCAATGAGTTCAAAAATTATCACAAGTGATGTCAAAAGTCTGTGCACTGGAATAATACAGCAAAAAAAAACTAACTTGAGGGAGTATTTAGAGGGAGGATGGTCACAGACAAGAAGCACAGAACTACACCATTTTAAAGACCTAGCGAGCCTGAACAGGTACTTATTGACTTGATATTAGGAACCATAAGTGCAAATTATTTAGGTGAAAAATTCAGAACTAATCAAAGGTAGTATTAAACAGTAGAAAGCTGAGCAAGTATGAGGTCTGCTTTTGTGGGTTATCTCTCTGACTACACAAAGCAAGAAATCAATCATTTGAAATGCACCTGATTCTTTTGACTTTAAGGCCTCTTTGATTTGCTGTTTAATTTTCATTGCTTCTTCCGCAGTCAAGTCCCCTTTCTTCAGTGTCACCACTTGAGGCTGCTCATCTTCCTTGTCACTGTCATCATCCACAGGTGGAAGCTGCTCTCTCTGGACAAGACAGAAATAAAAGCTATTCTGACCATCACTCCAGCTGTGGGCCAATTCTCTTTGGTTTCACTTTTGCAGAAGGGTTATTGAGGAGACTTGGCACAGCTGCCAGTGCCAGGCCCTCCCAAGACACGTTGTCCAAAGGACACTCCAATTCTATCACTGACACATGGCATTCCCACCAGCATAGGAGTATGGGTTCCTTCAATTAGAGACCAGAACAGCAGGAACTTGGAAAGCAAGAAATTAATTCCTTTTCTTCACCATCTTGACTGTGCAGGCACTGTCTGCTATGCAACACTAATAAAAGCTTTACATGTATGGGTCCAGTTTTGAACTTTCTATGCTGTACTCAAAACAGCACAAAGGGAAATGTGGGCCCATGAATTAGTAAATTATTAAACCTGTCTAAGCAAGTCACTGTAAGCAGCACTGACAAAGAAAATCATACTCCTGCTTCTGCTCTCTCAAACTTGTGCACTGGCACAGGAAAATCAAATGGCGTCATTTTTTTTTATTAAATGTTCTGTCATGGAAACCTTAGAGCAGCAACCTGAAGTTTGGCAGTATTAGAGGAACTGAAAACTTTATTTTGTAAGGAAAAGTATAGACAGTATTACTATAATCTACTGAATATATATATATATATAACAATAGGCTCATTTCTTAAGGTATCCTGTAAAACCCTACTTAGAGGGAAACACACGCAAAATCACACTGGTAGCAGAAAAAAAACATGCCACAGGAAAGGCTGCCTTCTAACAAGGTGGCTCAGACCCTATTGCCTCTGCCCTGCCTTTCCAGACATCACAAGGCAATTCATGTTGGGAAGGACCTTAAAGATCATCCAGTTCCAACTCCCTTGCCGTGGACACCTCCCACTAGGCCAAGCTGCTCAGAGTCCCATCCAACCTGGCCTTGAACAGTTCCAGGGATGGGGCATCCACAATGAACCGAGGCAACCTGTCTCACCACCCTCAGAGTCAATGATTTTCTTCCACATATCAAACCTAAATTTCCCCTCTTTTACTTCGAACCCATGTTAACTCCTTTCCAACTAATTCTTCCACCGTACTTTTAGAATGCTTTTTCCACACTGCCCCCTTCCTCCACCGCCCTGGGCTTTTAGAAGTCCGGTTCAAGTTGGGACATCACTGCTGTCCCCGGACCCCCACAGCCCCCTCGGCACTGAGGGGGCTGTAGCGGCCGCTCTGCAAGGCAGCCACGCAAAGCAGGGGTGCAGTGGCTCTAATCCGCCAACACAAAAGCAAAACCAAGTTACACAGACGATTTCAGTCAGTTGTAAGCGAGTAATTACGGCTCCCCCTTGAATTATACAACCGTGGAACGCTGCTTCCCCACAGCCCGCTATGCGAGAAGGCAGGGAGCGGGGATGGGCGGGCATCAAGGCTCGTGAAGCGCCAGGGAGCAGGAGCTACCCCTTCCCACCCGCGGGCCAGGGCGTTACCTTGGTGTCCACCGTGGGGCCTTCCCGATACCCGACCTGACACTTGAAGCGGCTGAGGAAGGCGGGCTCGGCCGGCCGCACGTAGGAGACCTGTTTCCTCTTGCTCATGGCCACCGAGCGCGCTTCCTGGCGGGACGCGGCCGACCAGCCCGCCCCTCCCTTCCGGAGCGCTCCCCTGCTCCCGGCCAATAGCGGGAAGGAGGGCGCGGAGGAAAACGGCGGGCCCGCTCCGCTGAGCGCTAAATTAAAAGGTGCCGCCATTTTGGAGCAGCGGGCGGAATTGCTGGGGTTCGACTGACTATGGCTGCCGCCGTGAAAGGTGAGCGGGAACGGCCGGGAAGGGGCTTGGGGATGTGCCCTCGGTTCGGAGAGCAGAAGGAGATCGGGGCGGCTCGGGAACTGGAGGACGACTTTGCCCGAGGGAGCTGCCCTGTCTCGTGCCCTGGTGGGGCATCACCCGCTTGGGAGAACCAGTGGGGCCAGGCTCGGTGCTCCCGGAGGGGCTGATGCCTCGGGGGTTCCACCTTGCGGTGCCTGCGGGCAGAGCGCTGCTCCGGTGGTGTTGTGTTCCCCACCTGGATGTTGGCCCTTTCCCAGAATCACAGAATAACCTGAGGCCGAAGGGACCCGCAAAGATTACCGAGTCCAAGTCTCGGCCCCGCACAGCACTGTCCCCAAGAGTCACAGCATGTGCCCGAGAGCACTGTCCTTCTCAAGCTTCTTGAACTCTGTCAGGCTGGTGCCGTGACCACTTCCCTGGGGAGCCTGCTCCGCCACCCTCTGGGTGAGGAACCTTTTTCTGATATCCAGCCCAAACCTCCCCTAACACAACTTCAGGGCTGTGCAAGTACCTATCAGTCTGATTTCAGTTTTTAAATGCACTCCTTTCTTTGACAACTTGTGCAATTGAAGAATAAATTACTTCATTAGAAGCTAAAATATTTCTCAGATGTTGAGTAAGTTAAAACAGCACGCAAAAAGCTCATGCAACAGGAGGATATTTAGGTAGTACGAATATCAAAAGAGAGGGTTAGCAGCTTTGCACACTGTTGTTGAGTCTGCTTTTAAAGGCGACCCTCCAACAAAAAAAAAAAACATGTGCTTTTAAAGATTTTATAAATATTTTATTGTTGGAATATTTTGAGGCATTATTTAATTGTTATTTTGCTTATTTCCTAAATGCAATTTTGTTACTGATTTAATTTTTTGACAATGTTATGTACTTTCATGTCAGATTCACCCTTAAGTAAAAAATAAGTCACTTTATCTACTATAGGGTAATACAGGCTATCTCCTTGAAATCTGAAGCTGTGCAAAAAGAGGCTCACTCACAGAATCAGTGAGGTTGGAAAAGACCTCTGAAATCATGGAATCCAACCTATGACTGACCAACTGTCAAGATTTTTATGGGTCTAGGCCTTCAAAAAGGCAGGAGCAGTTGTTGGTTGCTGTCAACTTGTTTATTTGTAGAGGCACAGAGACAGTGCCTCAGGGACAAAGAGTCCCAAATGTTAAAGTCCGTGCTAAAAGCTTTCAGCATAGAGTCCCGAATTAAAGCAGAAGTAGCTCTCTGGCTGCAGCAGAAGCAGAAAGCAGAAGTAGCTCATCATCACAGCTGATGATGGCAGTGAGGAGAGACAGAGTCTCTCCTCAATGCACGGATTTTTACAAATGCAAATTACTCAATGAGCTCAAAACGCAAACCTGAAGCATTTCTTCTAAACCTATTAAAATTACATTTCTCTAGTACAAAAGTTTACACATAATCTGCGTGTATAGCCTCTCCCATCTGAAGAATGTAAGCAATATTCTTACTATGTTTTTATTATGTCTAGAACTATGTTTTTGAGCTCTCACTGAAGCTTGTTTTTACACTGCATTCTATTTTGCCCTTTAAGGCACTTAAAACATATTCTTACTTACTTAAAACTTCCTTGTTGCACCTCTATTTCATGTACAAGTGGTTTAATGTACTTTATATAGCTCTCCATTTATTTCCCTCTGTATTGCTTACAGTATTTTCTATATAAGTGGGGAATTCTGAGCAGTATTTTGATTTTAACTTTTGTATGTCTCTCTTTTCTTTTACAGATTTACCTGACTCTTCAATATCTTTGTTGAACTCCCCTAGGTAAAATAATATTGTCCAGTTCCCATATATTATTAATTACATGGCACAGAAAGTGCAAACAAAACCTAGCATACCTTTGTGAGATAATTTAACATTTTTTCTTTCAATCTTTACACGCCTAAGATCACTGCCTTTCTCTCCTAACATCCTTGCAGACTTAAAAAAAATGTATTCACAATAAAACTGTTGTGCTGATGTGTTGGGTTCCTCTTGGTTCCTCTTTATTGCTGCCATGCAATAAATTTTCATTTGTCCACTAATTCTGCAGCTGGACTCTAGAGTTTATATGAAGAAATATCCCACTGGGAACTTCAGTCCTGTGAGGAAACGTTAAACTAAAACAAAAACCAGTAAAGCCTCCTCCAAGTGTAAACTGTCCCACAACTCAGAATAATGTTATACAATGAAAGCACATTTGGCAAATTAATTTGATGTGTCTTAAACCTAGTACAACATCTTCCCTTTCTCAGCTGCTGCTTATGTTCTCACCCTTTCTTCTGCCACTACTCAAGTGCACATTTCATTCATTAAGACCCTTCCCAACTTTTAAAACTGTTCTCTTCTCTCTTGTATACCAAAAGTAAAAATAGCAGTTGTAACAGTCTTATGCTAAATTTTTTTAAAAGGATGAAGTAAAGTAAATCCAAGTTTGCTACCGCTTCATGTAATAATTTATTGCTTTAATATTTTATGTGTGTATTGGTATTTATGGCCCACTCTTCAGAGCCTTAAATGTAAGTCACACACAGTTGCTTATTAAATGTGAGAAATGTGATGAAATTGATTAGGGATGTTTTAGATGCAGGAACTTGCTATGCTTTATTTGATTCATTGATCAAGAATTGATTCTTTTTCCCCTTCTTGTGAGCACCAAAGAAGAATGATAACTTTTTGCTGTACTGTAGCATTATCTGATCCATTGATCCATTAAAACTTCCAGGAATAGGAAGAGCATCTCATGTTCAGTATGCAATGTGGTCTTTTAGAGCTAAAGTTAGGTGCCACAGCAATAAATTCCATGTAACTGCATGTTCTTCGCTTTTAAATCTCCCATATTTTTACCTTTATTGGTTTCATCTACAAATAGTGGAATGATTTTTGGACAGACCTTTGTAAGACTTCATATGCTTAATCTGATGTGATTTAATTTTATCAGACAACAGATCTATTTGGAAGTAATCTAATGCATAAACATTTATTTAGTGTTGAAGGTGATGCTATCAAAGTTTTTGTAAGGGTGCGTCCCCCTTCAGACAGACCTGCATTTACCAGTGGAGATCATGGCCTGTGTTTATCAGTCCTTTCATCAAATACCATCCGCCTGCATTCAAAGCCTGAGCCAAAGATCTTCACTTTTGATTATGTTGCAAATATGGAAACAACACAGGTAATCATTTCCAGGATCTCATAGCTACTCCTGTTTTCACCCAAGTTTTGGCAACTACTATGCTAAGCCTTTCTAAAGATGTAGTGCATTAGGTCTAATTTTTTGCAGTGGTCAGATTGGGGAATACGTCATTATAGTACAGAATGCTGCACTAAATTCTGCTCTCTAACAGTTTTGATGTGATTTTTTTTTTTTTTCAGCTCTTAATTTCTTTAATTGGAGTTTGAATTAAAATTGAAGATTTTGTTTGTAAACATTATGGTAACACCATAGAGAGAAAATAAATCTGCCTATTGAGACAAATGTATAAAAATAACAGTCAGTAGCTGATATTAAGATGTGATTTCACAGAATCACACAAGATGCTGGGTTGGAAGGGACTCATAAGGATCATGAAGTTCAGCTCCTGGCCCTGCACATTTGTATTTAAGGAACTTTGGAGTTGATATTCTATTTACTATATTTCCTTTTTATACTTTTGCCTTTTAAATGTATTGCTCACCTGGAGCAAGTAATACTGTAAAGAAAATCCTTCCCTTTAATTTCTATAATATGGTGTTTGACATTCTGAACATGATTTTAATTCTGCTAAGACTCCCAAATCCATTTAATTTCTGTTAAAAAAAACAAACAAAACAAAACCTCACCTGCTGTAGGCTATTACTTGTAGCTAGGCTCTTGCAGATCTAAGAGAAAAATGTAAAGATAGATGAGACTAAGGTCGGTTGAATGTGCCATTGTGCAGTGGCAAATGTTGAAAGCTAGATTTCATAAGTGTCACAGGTACCTGGCCTACTGATGGTAAAACTGCATAACATAATCAAAACCACTGGATGATTACTATTATTATGTATTTGGAAGCTGTTACTATGGTGCTGAATTTTATTATTTCTCTTTGACTTTATCAAGGAATAAAATCTTTTCTGAGAGAGTGATTTATGTCACAAAGACTTAGGATGTATTGTTTTGCTGTGAGAATTCCAGGGGTCATGGTACATGTCTAACTTTAAGGAATGCATCTATTATATACTATAAAGTTATGGCATAGGAAACACTGATATAAAAGATACTTAAAGCACGTGGTGCCAAGTGCCTTCTCTTTCCCTTGTCCCCAGGAGTCTGTGTTCTCAGGTGCAGCTAAAAATATTGTTGAATCTTGTATGAATGGCTACAATGGAACCATCTTTGCATAGTAAGTGATTCCGTAGCAATTACAGTCATTTCATAGCAATGGTGACATTTAAGGAGATGGTGCTAATAAGCAGTTGGAGGTTTAAAAGCCAGAGCCTGCCTAATGTTACAGTAAACTTTAAAAGTGCTTCCTTACTGCAGCACAGCATAAGGAATGTTCTTGCAATATTGAATGGTATTCTTTGCTCCTCTTTTGGAGGAATCTGTATGTAGGTGTTATGCTTTTAACATTTAAGGCTAATAATGCGGATGTAAACTTATTTCAATCTTACTATTATTTACTTAAAAAGTAGGAATTTCATTGTACTGTTAAAGAGAAAGTTAGTGGTTCTCAGTATGTCCATGGTAAAATAGAATGAAAATTGTTTTAACTTGATATTTGATCAGCTCACTCTTCAGTGACTCTTGGCTGCTTGTGGGAAAACTC